TGGGCAAGGGCTGATTTGGAAAACAGCCAGGGTCAGGAAGCCAGTTCCGGAAGTCTTCATCCTCGAAATTACAACTCCCCCGGCATCCTCTGAGGTGGTTCCTGGGATTCTGGAGGGGCTTCCGCGGGCTGAGAGCTCTGAGGCCAAGACTCTTTTCTTGAGAAACAGGTTATAAGGCTGGCGTCCTGGGACAGATGGGCTCCGGTCCCCAAACCCCCCGCTCGGCATCGTCCACAACAGAGAGCCGTTTCACTCTGTGAACTCAATGACTACGGGGCACCCTGCCTCCCTGCAGATGTGGCTGCGTTTCTTCTGAGTGTAAGGAACTCAAACCTCTTTAGATGGGGCCTGGGGGCTGATTTTTAACGTGTGGGCCTGTCAGATGAAACGACCTGTATATAGAGGATTTAAGAGGACTTCCAAACATTCTTAGGAAAGCAAAAGCACACAATGTTGACTCATCCACACATCTCAAAAGTCACCCAAATCGACTCCTCCTATCCGGGCAGGGCCCTCCTTCCCAAGCTGTCCCTCAAACCTGCCCGGGACCCCGAGGTCGGTCGGCACACCAGGCTGTGGCTTCTTTACGGCTAGAGATTTAACACTCCACGAGAGGAAATTAAACCCAGAACCCTGTGGGAAAGCGCCTGCCCCTAATTAGACCACTTGGGGTTTTTTGTTTTTTAATCCCTGTTTTCAGAACATAAATGTTCCAATGCCCCTGTGGCATGGGGGACTCGAAATGAAGCCTAAAGCGGAGGACCAAAAAGAAACACAAGTGCCATTCCAGCATTTTCTACTTGGGTCCAAGTGTTTTTGATGGACGAGAAAAGTAATCTCTAAAGAACCGAGAGAGCCTGGAGTTTTTCAACAGGTTTGTTAAAGTCCAACACCAAAATTTTGGCAGCCTTTGACATCGAGCTAAGATATATGTGGCTGAGAAAATAGCTGTGCACACAGGATACGCTTGTTCCGCCCACAGCAAGCTTCTCAACCAGGTCTAAACACACTACGACAGAGCTTTCAGTGACACCCGGCTCTCTGCTCGACAGCGTTTCTGTAACTGCTGTCTGTCTTGTTACAAATGGGCGTTATCCTGCCAGGGCAGCCTCAAAGCCTTCCCCTTCAGATTTTTTTTTTTTTTTAAAGATTTTATTTATTCAGTTTTCTCCCCCCAAAGCCCCAGTAGATAGTTGTATGTCATAGATTCACATCCTTCTAGTTGCTGTACGTGGGACTCGGCCTCGCCTTGGACGGAGAAGTGGTGCCTCAGGGCGCTCCCGGGATCCGAACCCGGGTCGCCAGCATCAGAGCGCGCGCACTTAACCGCTAAGCCACAGAGCCGGCCCCTTCCCCTTCAGATTTAACAAATGTTTGGAAGATAAAGTAACCGAAAGAAACATTTAGTCATCACAAACAACGAAACAACCTACAGAAGGAGATTCAAGCTCTCTTCACATTAAAAAGAAAAAACTGTCTGTCTCCACGCGAGGCAGTTAAGAAAAAAAGGTTTGATTTTTGCCCCTAAAACACAGATGCAGGTCAACGCAAGCGCTTCACGAAGAGCGCCACCTAGAGGAAGAGTGGGGACGTGGAAAGAAGCAACGACAGTGGCCAGGCGACCGGTCTGCCTCCGGGGCTGGATTTCAGGCCTTAGGGCTGGAGTTCCCACGGCGAGCGCTCTCAATCACAGGGAACGATGGGAGGATGTGACCCTTCATCCTGAGATGAAGCGATGCCACGGGCGGGCCACTGCCAACAATCTGTGGTTTGATGTGAAAGCAACTCGGACCACCAATGGGATGGCAGAAAACGCTGGGGGGCTTCGCCACCAAATAAAAACAAAACCCTGGCTGGCAGCTTAATTGTTTTCTTTTTAATTTCAAACCTTTTATCTCCATCATGATTTGGTAACGAGAGCTGGGCCTGCAGAGTGCGCTGCTCTGAAGGGGGGACATGGCTCTCTGAAGCGCATCCCACCAGGTGGTTCAGAGATGGGTTACTCAAAGGGAAGTTAATGGTCCCACAGCTGACACCGGGACTTCCTGATCTTTGTGGATCAATTAAGAAATCATTCAAGATGAAAGGTTATAGGGGAAAGATCTTTGTGGATCAAGAAATGGCTCAAAAATAGCTGTAAGGGATGTTCTGGTGACAATCGGGACAATTTAAATATGGACTATATACTGAAGGATATTTCCAAATTAATGATCATGTTTTCAGGAGGAACAATGGCACTGGGGCCACGGAGAGGAAAGGCCTCCTCCTAGGGGATGTCTGCGGAGTATTTAGGGGAGACACGTCAGATGGGCACAACTTACAGCCGAGTGGTTCTAGCACTTTCGATAAAAACGTTCACAGTGAAGCCGGGGGAAGGAGACCCGAGTGTCGCTGCACCATTCTTGTAATTTTTCCGAGGATTTGACAATTTGCAAAATAAAAAGTCGAAGAGAAAAGGGGAGAAAAGTCTGCTCAGAAAAAAAGGAGCACAGCCTGAACAGCCCTTTCCCAACTCGGCGTCTGCGGCGTGGAAGGGGCCGGGCTGAAATCTCGGCCCGAGAGAAGGCGAGTGGAAGCCCCAGATTCTCACTGCTGTCGAAGTACTGTGGCTGCTCCCTGCAGAGCCGTGAAACGGGCAGCAGAGGAGAAAGGAAGCTGGATGTCTGAGCTCCTACTTCCCGCCCTACTTGTGCGCTGTCACAAGCAGCAGAGAAAGAAAGGAAGACTCCACGTCCATCTGGCCACTGTCCACCCAAGAGCTCGGAAAGCAGCCCTAATGGATGGTGATGAAGGCGCCTCCGGCTCTGGAGGGGTTTGCCGCGCCCTTTCGGTGACCTTGTGACAGCAGGGGAGAGCCGTTATTTTTAGAAGCCCATTTAGAGTTGGCTCTGGGTCAATATTTTGATAAGAACTGCACTTGCACATTTTTAAGATGATGGGGAGCGTCTCCCTAGCTACACTTCACCCCACTTGCCATTTACATAACAGGACTCGACCTTCTAAAGTTAATACACAGAAGGCAGCCTTTGAATGACGAAGCCACAGAAGCATCTCAACTGTGAGAACAGTACTGAAACAGGAATGAGCATTTTCAACTCCACCGAACAAATATTACATTTTAGTGTTTCATCCTGCTGGTTGTCCAAAAGTCTTCAGGTTTAAAGAATTATTAATTCCTATTACTCGTTTTAAGTCTGAGGTCAGCAACTTTTCTCTGTAAAGGGCCAGATTCTAAATATTTTCAACTTCGTGGGCCATATGGTCTCGGTCCAAACCACTTCACTCTCTGTTACAGCGTGAGAGCAGCCTTGGCTACTGTGAAGGGGATGGACGTGGCTGTGTGCCAAGAAAACTTGACTTAAAAAAACAGGTGGTAACAGCAGGCTTTAGTTTGCTGACCCGTTTTAAACTAAAAGTGGTTCAAAAGATGATCATGATAAAATTCCAAATTCTAGAAAATTCTATTTTACAGAAAACCCGAGAGAAGTGACTTTAACATCTGAAACAGAAATCGAATACATCCATATCTAGAAGCTAGAGGAACGCACTGCCCCTTCACAGTGACCGAACCTCCAAAGGACACACGATAAAAACACATGTGATTACTCGGCAGGTACTGGTCAGCGCCCAGGGAGAGGAGAAGGCAGGGGTCGATGGATCTTGAAAATACCACCTGGAAAACCGAAATGAAACAGAAGAACGTTCCCTTGGGTTCAGCAAAAGAATTATCAATGGGAGTGTTGACCATGACGACGAGCCTCGTAGATGAGCCCCGGCTAACACAGAAGGTTCCCTGTGAGGGGGTGTGGGGGGGGCAGCTGCCCCCTCTGGCCCCCTCCACATAGGCTCTCTTCCTGGCACAGCGCTTAAACGCTGCCAGGGGCGCTGGGCCACACAGAAAGAGCAGTCTGGCCTGTCTTCTCAGAGCAAGGGACGGGGTCCACGAGCAGCAGCTGGGCTGCCAAGAGCCCCAAATCGCCAGACCAGCAGCCCCCAACCTCGGGGCCAGCCACCCTGCAGGGGTCTGGGGATCCCCTGGAGCACCTCGCTTGTGGATTATGAGCCCTTGAGCCCATGAGATTCTCAAATGCTGTTCTTATCAACAAGATGCAGCAGGATTTCAGGACATGCTGTATCCAGCACAGCACCCTGGTCCCTCCGGAATCCTGCAACGGGTATTAACTACACCTGCTGTCCCGGGGCAGGGTGGGAGGGACTGTCCATCTTTTGGACACATAGAGGGAGTCCTCATACAAGCTCGGGAGGCATCGCCACAGAACAACAACTCACTCTGGACACAACCTCAACCCTCCACACTGACTTGTCAGGGAGGGACATCAAACCACGGACGTCAAGATGAACCACAACACGTGACGATGCGAAGCGACTGCCGCGCCCCTCAGGCCTCTGGCGGACCGCCAGCCCCTCACCAGGAATCGGGCAAGGCACTTCCAACTACAGTGCTGTCCAGACACTGAAAAGCCACGGGGGGGGGGAAGCAACCTAACAAAGGTGGATGGTAAATGCACCACGAAGGTCACCTCGTAATTACTCTAAATGCACTTATGCCAAGTTGGGTGGGGCCAAAAAAATCCCCCTAAAATCTTTCAAGGTCCTGTTCTCCCTGTTACCCACCACTGCTCTCTCTCCTCCCTCCCTCCCCTTCCCTCTTTCTCTCCCTCCCCTCCTTCCTTCCACCTTTCTCCCCCTACTCGTTCCTCTCCACCAGCTTTCCTAACGTACAGCAGCATTTCTAAAATGAATCACTAGGAATTAGAACGAAGCTTCCTACCACTGAATTTTAAAGCAGGATCTCTGAGCCCCTTCCGCACACGCCCACCTTAACCTCTCCCACGGTCCCCTACACCCACCGGACCTCTTTCCTCCAAGCTCAGCGTGAAGGCTGGAAAGGCAGAAGGCCCCACAGCCGTGTGGCCTGGGAGAGCCCTCCGGGAGGGGACAAGGCGAGAGAGCCCGTGGAGAGAGCATGCCGGCCTTACCTTTTGTCCTTTTTCCTTCTGAAACACAAAGACAGGCGGAGCAATGGCAGGTTTTTCTGCAAAAAGAAAAATTGGTTTTTTTCCCCCCAACACTATATTCATACAGTAAACAACGCTACATTTGTTTGTCATAAGTTAGAAACAAAAAACAAACCCAACATAAAACTAGTAACTTCAAAGAACATCAAACCGCTTAGAAAACAGTTTCTCCACGTGGATGCGTGGGCGTGTCCTGTTTGTGAAAACTCGACACTTAATAGTGGGATCCGGGCGCTTTTCTGTGTGCGTATTCTACACCAATGCAAAGGCGTCCAGACTCACTCAGAACAGGCCACGTCACTGACCGAGAGAGAGCGGTGGGGACTGCGGTCAAGCTGCAGGGTGTCCGAGGTGACCACTATTCAGTGTCACCAACATGGCACAGAGACGTCAGATCTTTATGTGGCATCTTCCGAATTTCAAATGTGGGAGACTAGTTCAGGTTTTTTATTTTGTTTCAAATTCGCAGGCCAGTTGGGGCCAGAGGGCAGCCAGGTTGCAGCCCCTGCCCACACGGCTCATGCTCTTTGGAGAGCCAACCCGGTCGTCAGTCCAATGTGCCACCTAGCTCTCTAAAGGAGCGCCCGGTAAAAGAAAAGGATTTATGGAGTTGCCAGAGTCCATCCTGCATAGCCGCTGTTGAAGGAAGAAACCCTTTGGGATGTTCTGTCACCCGACGTGACCAGGGCAATGCCGCCTGTCGTTCCCGGGCGACACCGTTTATCTCCTATCCAGGGGCCAAATGCACAGCCCTCTGCCACCTGCCCCTGCGAGGGCAGCAGCTGGGGCATTCTGCACGAGGATGGCCTCAACCCAGGGGGAGGCCCGGTGCCCTCCCGACCCCTGCAGGCGCCCGGGGCCTCCTTTAGCATCAGAGGGCCTGAGGGCAGAGTGGACGAGACACAAGGGGAGGTGGGAACTCGGGGAGCGCTGGCAGGGCCCCGCTGGCGGGGGGATTAACCAGAACCTGCGCCCACAGCTTCGCTTCAGCAGGACGGCTACGCGGGAGGGGACACGGCTCACCGGGCGGGCAGCCGGTCAGCGTCTGCTCTAGGGTGTCAGGGAGACGTCCCCGGGAAGAGGCGGCTGTGCTGAGGTCTGGGGGACGGGAGCCGGAAGGGAGAGGGGCAGGTGTGAGGACTCGGCAGGGGCGGAGGACGGCCACGCTGGGGATGTGGGGAAGTGCAGAGGCAGCGGGGAAGCACGGCGGCTGGTTCAGGACCAAGGAGAGAACAGCTAGGGGAAGGGGTGACATGGGGACCTGTTAGGAGGCGGCGGTGATCACCCACAATAACGAAGACGGGCGGGGCCAGGGTTTCAGGAGGAACAGGGACACCGTCCCGCTCTCCGCCCCCCACACGCCCACTCCTGGGAGAAGTAGGACAGACCCGGTCTGGACCTCGGGGCAACAGCCGGCCGATGGTGACCATTCCGTCTGCGTGCTCACTGGAGCCGCACGGCACCCGAGTCTGACTCGCCGCGACAGTCCTCCCCTGCACGGCCCACGGCCAACCCGGCGGGAACGACGTGCACGAGACCACAGTGCTGCCAGGGAGGAGGGGTGTGGGGGGCTCCCCGGCAGGGTGCGTAGCTGCCGCTCGACAAACCGCGATGAAAGAACGAATGAATGAACACGCCCGTGCCAGGTGACAAATGGCAGCAAAGGAACGCCGGGGGGCTCTGGATGGCAGCAGCTGATGCTCACACGTCATCCACAGGAATCCCAGACCCTTCTGGAGCTGCCCTTCATCCCCCAAGCCCAGCCTCGGGGCTGAGCTCTGGGCCCAGCCTCACTTCTGCATTCGGCTCCCGGCCGGCTGCAGGGCGCTGATGCGCACAGGAAGGAGCCGGGGTTCTGGCTAGCTCAGCAGCCCCCCAGCCCCCCGTTTTCTTTAGGGAACCACCCCTCCCCTACCCCTGTGGCTCAGAGGAGCCCAGCCCCAGCTCCAGGCCCGAGGAGGAGAGGACTGTGTGCCCCGGCCCCAGGGGACACGGCGGCATGTGAATAAGGCCAGGCCGCTGACAGCAAATGAGACTCGGGTCCAGGGACTTTTGGTGGAGCTCTTGGGGAGGCGGCGCTCTCTCTGCTGGGGCTGCAGCAGCCTCGTGCCACCACCAGGGGCCTTGGACTGGAGCCAGCCCAGCAGGACGCAGAGCCGGAGGCAGAGGAGGAAACTGAACCCTGAAGACACCCAGCCGGGGCGGAGCTGGCCCAAAGCGCCCTGCCCCCCCCCCGCCCCGCCTTGTTGTTAAGCCAATAAATGCTGATTTCTGCTTCAGCCAGGCTGAGGTCCATCCCAGCCTCCAGCCAGGGAGGTGAGGCCCAGCCTCTGCAGTGAACTACACACATTACTCTGTGGAAGACACGGGGACCGGCCTCCCGTGAGGGAAGATGCTGCGTTCTCGCAGCAGCTCTCCCCACCTGACGCACTGTGTGTTCCCAGGTTTCCAGTCGGTCTCCCCAACTAAGATGTCAACTCCGGGAAGGTGGAGACTCTGCCTTGTCGTCCCCCCAACCCCCCACCCCCGCCCCGCCCCGTAGTCTGAGAACAGTACCTTGCAGGATTCGTCTAGTAAGGGAGGGGACAGTGGAGAAAATGACTCCAGGCTAGTAAGGAAGGAGGAGAACAAGGCAGAGGAAGAGCTTTCTGGTACTGGGAAGGGTCGCGGGTCACCTGCAGGCACACGGGAGGGGCTGCAGCGATTCGGGCCACCCTGGGAGGCCTGGGCCGCCTGTGTGTCCCTGGGCCGGGCCAGGAAGGGAACTGGTTCCAGCAGGAGGCTGCCTGCGGTGCGAAGGTCCTGCCCAGCACCTTCTGGACCACGTGGCAGGGTCCAGGCATGAGCTAGGAGAGGTCCCATCTGGGGAGGAACAATTCTGCACGGCACCTGGGCACGCTGCTCGGCGGGGGGCAGAGGGAGGCTACACATGGAGGGGACACGGGCTGCGAGCTCTGAAAGCAGCCACCCGAAGAACAGGAACGCCGGGTGAGACCCACGCAGATCCACCCTCCTTAATCCCCCACTCCTGTTCCTCGACCCTCCACCGCCACCACCGCCCTAGTTCAGACCCCTCTTCTCTCCCTGTCCCTACTCTCACTCCCTCAGTCCAGCCTCCGCAGAGCAGCCAGAACCACTGGTGTGCAACGCACGCCTACGACTCAGCAGTGCCCTCCCCGACTGGGGTCAGGGCTCCCTCACCCAGGCCACCCCACCTGCCCGTTATGGGTCACCGAAGAACCTGCTGTCCCCTGCACGCCCATGATTCTGTCACGCTTCTGGACTTCCGCCCGGCGCAGCCCCTCCGCCTAGAACACATTCACCTCCTCTTCCGTGGCTGATACTCGTTCACGTACAGACACCATTTCCCACAGGAGCCCAGTGTGACGGGGCTCCCTGAGCACGCTCTGGCTTACATCCTGCACGGGTCACACCGAGGCCACCTGTCAGGGAGGCGGAGAGACCCGGACACAGCGTGCGAAACAGCTCTGCGCCCCAGCCTGTCACGTAGGAATCGTCCAATAAATGTCTGAACTAACCCCCCATCCTTCCTCACATGTGTAACACCGGCTGCCATGTAATCACAGAAATATTTATTAAGCCCTTATTCCCTGCAAGGCACCATGGGAAAAATGGGGAACAGGAAGCCGGGGGCCGAAAACCTCAGGGTAAAACATCTGATTAAAGGGGGGGGTGTTTGTACATTCGCCTGGCACTGTGGAGCCCTGGAGCTTCTGGAGGGTTCTGGGTTTATCTGCCCCTGGAACGGAAGCCCCACAAGAGCGGGCCTCTGCTGTGTTCACTAAGCAGTTACAGAGCAAATGAAGCGTCTACACCACAAAGGCTAGGACCCGGAGGCATGGGCCCTGGGGTCCCCCACTGAAGTAGGTTTGGGGGTCAAGACAAACCCATCCACTGCACTAAAACGTGGCAATGAACTTCAGTCAGTTCTCCAGCAAAATCACCAAGCCCCAGAGTCACACACGTTTCTCTTCCGCTCAGCTCCAGCAGGGCCAAAGTCTACACGCCGCAGAGTAGGGTTGATGCTGCAAACGGACAACGCACACCTCCCCGGTCCCTGCCGGCCTGCCCGCACTATCAGGGCGGCCACAGACTGCTCCCCTAACCGTCCCGATCACCTGACTGCTCTGCTAGTCGCTGACTAGGCGGCGTGCGTTCAGCTAACTGAAACGCAAGTCTGGGGAGCGAACAGCGGACAGGGGCCAGGAGGCTTCTGGGACCCGCCTGAGTCCCAACCCAGCTCTTCTTCTGCAGTGAAGGGAAATCACCAGAGAGGTGTCCAGAGAGACCCAGGCCACCATGAAGATCTAAAACATTAAATGTTACTCAAATGCAGACTATTTGATTCAGAGTCTGTCAACCAGGTGTTTGTTTGGGGTCCTGTGAAACGCTCCCTGATCAAGTTAGTCTGTACAAAAGCGGCCCGCCAGGGCACTGGCTCGACACACCAGCACAGAAAGGGTTAAGAAAACAACCGTAAAGAAATGGGTGTAACCAAATGTCCCCCAAGTTCCTTGATCAGAGAATCCCTTGGCCTGTTCTGTGGGCAGCTGTGGCCATACTGCTGTGTGAAGTGGGGTGGCATTCAGAGCCCCAAGGCACCTCCAACAACAGCCCCGCCTCTGGGGGCGCAGGCCTTACGGTCTGGGACACGCCCAGTGCTTCGGCATCCTCTCGGCTGTCTGAGGTGCCAAACGCCAAGTCCCAGATGGCCACTGCTGGATCAGAATTCCCCCAGCCGCCTCCACACGCCCCTCCTCAGCTCCAGTGCCTCAGATGACACCCGGTCGGAGCCCCACTGTGATCTCAGAGGATGACCACAGACCCCAGCCAGGGGAAGTCCCCCATGTCCCCAATCCCCAAGGCAAATACCACGGCGGGGGGTCGGGGGGGCGGGCAACAGGCCAGAAGCAGAAAGGAGTGAGGCCCTGGCGACACCCCGGCCCGCCGTCCTGTCCCCTGCTGCCCTCCACCCAGCTCTGAGGTTCAGATGCAA